AAGGTGCACATCGTGCGGCACTGGATTCATCCTGACAGGTTTTACGACACGACAGATTTCTTTGCCTTGGTTCCTCGCAAGTATGTCCGACCGTACTTTGGTGTCCATTGTCCATTACGTTCTCAGGTACGCACAGCAGCATTCCTAGATCTATGCTACGGTTTAATCTGCAACTCCACAGACTGCACAGTTCAGCCAGAGTGCGCGCTGCAATTACGGTTGAGATCGCACGGGGTGCCGGTGGAGCCGTTCCCATCCATCACAAACATAGTACGCGAATCCACCTGTCAACCTGGAGATCTGAAATGCCTTGCTGGTTGGGATATCTTAGCTTGGCGCAATTATCCTGAACGCTGCTTCTTGTGCTTCGGGTAAAAAAGGAATGCATTTTCTGCAGCACCCTGTGCGAAGCGGACATACCAGGATGCGGGACACCACATGTCATGTTGCAACGAACTTGGACAGCAAACGCACACCAGGTTAGCAGAGCGAATCCCAATTCCCTCGTTATTTGGCCGTTTTGCTGCTAAGTGATGGTTGGGATTTCTGGCATGCTGTTGAGAGTTCACCCTGCAGCGTTCAATTAGCTCAGAAAAGGTTGGTAGCCGTTTAGCGCGCAGCTCTTACTGACACTGCTTTTCGGCCCAAGCTGCAGTAGCTCGCCCTGGGGCCGGGCGAAAAGGTGGCCAAGATGGGTTACGGCATCGGACGAGGGTGCGGAGGGTTTGGATTGATGGCAGTTGCGTTGTATGTCGAGCTCTCGCTTGCCGTTTCGTAGTAGCCATAGTCTGTGCAGTCAAAGCTCAGAAGCTCCCGCTTTGCTCCCAGGAAGTCCTGGGGCCGTGGCTTTCGGAGCCTGCGGGATGACTGGGGCCGCGGAGGTGCTGGAAATGAAAATCTTCTGATTTGGAATCCGTTTAAAGCTTCTCAGTCTCCAGGCAAATCGGCCTGGAATGGCCGCGCCAGCTACAAAGGCAAAGGCAAGGGCAAGGCCTGGGTGTTGGGAGGGCATCGCGCAAGACCAACGTCCGGAAAAACTAAACACAGCCTTGACACGTTCAGCTAGTTCTGTGGTGCTCTTCGTTCCTTTGAGACGTGCTGCAGGCCTACGGAGGCCGCCCTGGCGGCGTGTGGCGATCCATTGTGAAGCGGCCGTACGGAAAGGCCCGCGTGTTACATCACGCCGACTAGCCGCTAGTAGCATTGCAGAGAAACATGAAACAAGACACTGGCAAGATTAGTTTCCTCGTTGTGACACCTGTGCTTGAAAGTATATGTTTTTTTGTTGAGAGGTTGTGATGTGACAAAATCAGACAAGCCCGTAGGCCTTTAAATGCAGACCTGCAGGCTGTTGAGCATGAAGGCAGCATCTCCTTTGCTCAAGTCATGCGAACACCCGGATGAGGGAGAGGAGCACACTTGACTCTCCAAGCCAAAGACTGAATTTCGAATTGATCCAAGCTGCACCAAATCAGCCGAAACTGTTTGGCAGCCAATCTGCAAGGCTTACGGCCGAGGAAAAGGCACCTGGTTGACATGCTGCTGTGTTTGGACCCTGCACTTTCCTTTCAAGTTCTATGGTGCAGACTCCTAATAACCCCCAAAGCAGGTCAATTGGACTCATGGACACGAGCAGCGGTACATATTCCTGGGGTACAGTTCTCTAGAATCCAGAAAAAGCTTCTTGTCACCTTCGGATGTTGAGGTGGTTGATGCATTTACTTAATTCTGAGGGCTTAGGCTGCGAGAAGATCCCCATCGTGCCCCCGGGACCTGAACAAGAGCTGCCATTAAACCTCATCAAGGACACAGAGCATTTGCCCGAAGGCCAGAAAGGCGGGTACGGCTACGGCGGTTACGGCCGAGGTCGCTTCGGCTATGGCCGTGGACGCCTGGGTCTCGGGCGGAGTAATGCTGATGGGCTGGTCAAATGCAGGCCTTGGTTGAATAGGCCAGGCGTTGTGGCTTGTAAATGGCACGGTTTGTATCGCATGGCCATTGTTGTTTCGAGATTTTGTGCTGCGCATTTTAGTTTTGCGTTCACGTGTGCATGCTGAGGATACGGCAGAGGAAGCTATGGTCGCGGCAAAGGTGCCAAGGGATCTGCTTGCCCTGTAAAGCACGCCAGCTTGATGGCTCCAGCCGTCTTGGGTGGGATGCTGCACAGCACGAAACTCGGAGCCTAAGGATGTAATCATTTATAAGCGTCATAACTCATAACCTAAGGAAATAGTGAGTTTCGCTCCTTCAGCTTGCACTCCTGCCACAGGCCGAGGCTACAAAGGTGGTCTGGGCCTTGAGCTTCCTGTCTTGAGACCTTCGGCATCCAGAGCCCTGGATCCAGCCAAAGAGACAACGAGCGACGATTGGTTATCGTTGCGCTGTGCTCTGCCGAGTGCAGCTTGCGTCTTACACGGCATGCCGGCTTTGCAATCGTCGAATTGTGCTAGCTACCAGCATGCTGATCACGATGCCTTTGAACAAGCATTACTGCAGCAGCTGTCTCATCAACCCCAGCTTTTAGACGTTTTGGTCATGGACTGTGTCTCATGTGCCAAGGCCGAAAAGGCAAAGGAAAAGGTAAAGGCAAAGGAAAGAGAAACCAGGCAGGTGTCACAGTTCATTGGCATGTGCTCAGATCTCATCATTTAGGCATGCAGTGGTTCAAGAGTGGGAACGGGAAGGGCGGCTGTTGGCAGCAGTTGTGGAAGAGGTGATGGTCGTGCTGGTAGAACAAGCAGAAGTTGTACGTATAAGAAGCAGTAGTAGCAACTGCAGCAGCCAAAGGCGAGCAATAGCACTGGTAGAAGTTGTTGTGATGGCAATTTTTTTTTTCCGAACCCGGTGGACAGTAGACAGTTCAGACAGTACTTGTTGCCCCTGCTGCTCAAAGAAGACCACGTGAGGTGCATGTAACGATTGTTGGCCCGTGCGACGAGAATGAGGTACATTAAATACGGTGCAGCATGGCTCAGGTGACAAAAGAGATGCTAGATCGACAGTTGGAAGAATACATGGGGCCCGACGCGATGAAGGCTTGACCTGGAAGGGTTCAACATCTACGGATTGGACTGGGCTTAGAAGCCATGTGGTGGTTGCTAGCAAGAGGTTTGTGGAGAGGTAAGCATGCCTGTAAGACAGTTGATAATTTGCCTCGCCTCTCCTGGGATTGTTTGCTGCCGTTTGTCAAAAGCTGGCTGTCTACCTCTCCACTCCACAAGCCTGCCTGAGAGCCCACGACCAATGATGCTAGTGTCAATATTCTTTGATGCTGACAATAAATCCGCCCTCAACAAACTCCAACGAAAGCATGTGCAAGAGGCCATGCTAGACCTGGAGCTTGAAGCCTACTTCAAGGCTGGCACCATGCCTGTGGGCACTTGAGAATAGGATTTCAAGACTACCCGAATCTGAGCCCTGTTTTGTAGCTTCGTTAGCACATAGGCCAGTTGTCCTGACACAAGGCACTTGGCATTCACTCCTGTGCATTCCATGCGGCAGCTCTTTAAGCAGCGAAATGGCGGGAGCTTGAAAGGACAAGAAAAGTCTGGAGACTCCGAAAGCAGAGAATGCCGCCAGCAGCCTGAATGCTTGTCCAAGGTACCGGTTTAATTGGTTTAGTTAATGTGTTGAACTCAGGGATGCCCGGTGCATAAGGCAAATCGAGGAGCATTCCTTCCCTTCTTCTGCAGTGGCTGAACCGCATCCCGAGGCCGGCAACCCCTGAACACTGCCAAGTGGGACCGGTTTTATCTGCACAGGAGCAAAAGGCGTGTCCTGCATGTTGCCACTGCAGGATGAACCGATGGCTGGAGTCAACTTGGAAACGACAGTTTGGGGTCACTGACAGTGGCTCGCAACCCTGCACGCAACCTTCATCTAATTAGAGGTCACCATTTAGCTTTCAACCGATGGTCCCTGAGCCAGACCAAAAACAGGTAAACCCAAAGCGATAGATTTCAACTTGAGACTGTACCATCTTTCATTCTTGCCTCACATGCCTAAGCTTGGCGACAAAACCTCCATGCATCAGACCAAGACAGATCAACAAAGTTTTCCATTCATTTCTTGGCTGCCGCGATGGAGTCGCTGGAATCGCCTGCCGGCGAACCAAGGTTGGAACCGCCTAAGCTTGTTCTTTAAGGCCCCTACTGGGACCTAGCCCCCCAAGGCTGCAGATATCTGAAAGGTGTGACGGTAGGCCTTTCAGCCTTGGCACATCGGACGTTTGGGACTTCTTGTTGCTCGTGCCCGAGCCACACTGGGTGCTCACACTAACAGCACAGGATTGGAGCAAGTCACATGAAGTCACGCTTTGAGCGAAGTTCTGGGTCAGGAGTCTCGCACCCCTGGGCTTCTCAGAGAATGGGGCTGGCGACGAGGCTGACCTCAGCAAGGAAGATGCTGGATTTTTATTATGAGGCTGAGGCTGCAGGTGCTATTGCTGTGAAGCTTTTTTTGCGCCAGTCCCCAGAAGAGAACAGGGAGGAACTGCTGGAGAACGACTTGCGCTTTCCTCAGCTGGTGTTACATCGTCATTTTTTCAAGTCACTGTCTGCGTGGACTCTGGTAATGTAGACACCAGGTGAATATTTCCTGCAACATGTGTCCAAAAGAGCACAAAAATCAACAGCATGTACTTCTCACAGCAGGGATGTAGATCCACCTCCATCCAGACAGTTTGATTAGCAACATTTGCCGGTGCAGCGAATTAAATGTGCGACTGAGCTGTTGGCACAACGACATTGGCATCATGACAGAGAGAATTGCAGAACGTGGCACATCTTTTTTTCTCATCAAGCCCAATGTGTCTATGGCAGGCGCAGGGGCTTGGCCTTATAGTAGTGGCAATGATGCAAGCTTCGGGTCCTGCTTCAGAACTCTGGGTGGCTCAGGTATCTTCTCACCCGTGGTGCGCCGAAGGCGAAGACTTTCAAAGCTGGGTTAGAGATACCGTTGTCTCTGCTTACTGGTGCACAAGCTTTTCTTGCGACTTCCTTTAAGCGGTATGGATGTTTCAGGGGCGCAACAGTAGATGCTACTAGTGTTGCTGACGCAGAATTGGTTTAACACAATGCAACCGCAGTTACACTTCAGGGTATAATCTGAGGCATTCTTTGGAGTGCAGACTTTTCCCCATTAATCCCACAGCGGCCGTCCAGCACGTTTTATGTGATGATGACCTTGCAATTTGCGCACGAAACAGGACCTCCAGCTTTAAGAACCCCATACACGTCTATCGTGACGGCTCAAGTTTTTTCAAACCAGGCTTAGATTACTTGGCCAGAGGCTCCGTGAGCGCCTTGCTGGGTAAGCATGGGCTGTGTCGAGTCACAGGAGAAAAATGGACGGAGCTTTAGTGTCCTTGTCTTTTCGGTTTTGGCGTTGAACCTTTTGACCCTGTAATTTCTGTGAAGCATTGAATGCCAGATTGAACTACAGCTTTACGCATCCCCCTGGAGGAGAAGCCCGATATTCCACGAGCTCAGGCTCACAGCTTCTTCAAGCTGGAAGGTCATCTGGTCGCAGGTGGTAACCTTTTCAAGACGCTTCTTCCGCCTCAGGGAAACATCACCGCACCCATGACATACTGACAGTTTTTTTTGCTGATTGCAAAAGCTTAACGTAGAGAAGCAGAGACTTCTTTCCTTTGCCAGGCCTGCCTTTGACGCTTACAGTGACTCAGACAGACAAGAAGAGCCTTCAGCTCCGGGTCGTAGGCTTCGACTGTCCAGAAGAGCTTCGCCTGCTGGAAGGCGCTCTGCAGAAGAGGAAGATGCGGGTGCGGTCCGCAGTGCTTTTGAGAGTCGGCTCACACGTCGACCAAACTTTTGACCTGACCATGAGGCGAAGGAGGGTAGCAACCACTATGACACTTGCTTTCCCACTTTGTACATTTTTTGCAGTTTGCAGTTTTCGTGGTTTGCTAAGGTCCTACAAACCTGTCTAGGGAACTCATCACGCGAGGACTAGCTTGCTGGGCCAGAAGGCTCAGGAAGCAGATATCGGGATCGTCGAAATGTCAGTGGATGAGGCCTGTAAGGACACCCCGGAGGTGGAAACGGTTTTCAGAAGTGTCAAGGTTCCTTCAGGCATGGTTCTCAAGGTGAGCCTGAGATGTGCCCAAGTTGGCGGTGAGCGAGGAGCATTGGTAGAGGCGATCCGAAGCTCTAAGCATCTTCTCCTAGCTGCAACTTTGAGCTCTCAAGATGAATCGACCATATCTGATTCTTTCTGGATCTGCCAAGAGGAGGAGCAGATGTCGACAGAGGAGTTACTAGGCGAGTTGAGGCAGGCAATCGCTGGCCAGGTGGAAAAGATGGCATCCATCCAGGCCCAGATGAAGAAGGCGAGGCCGAGCTTAGCGAGATCCTTATCAATGGCAAGCTGGGATGGGTCGCATCCTTTTAGCACTCGGAGCACTTCCACGGTCTTCCAAGCAGATCGTTTCCGCTCGAGCTGCTCACTCCAGAGCTTGGACAGTATCTCAGGAGTCATGAAGGACATGACAGCAGAGGCCGAGCCGGAACCGGAGTTGCCGATTGTGCTGGAGTGGACGCGGAAGGAAGTGGAGTATCCTCTGCAAGCTTCTACATTGGGCCTTACGGTCGACGGGTTTGTCAAATATGTTGGGATGGGCCTTGTGCAGCGAAGCATGAAAGAATTGTTAGGCTCCAAGGCTGAGGCCGATTCAAAGCAGTTTGCTCCGCACATTTTGGAGCTGCGCACGTTTTTTGTGGCAGAGAGGATGGACCAAGCAAGTGGCCAACTCGCGCATCTTCAACACATGCTCCATGATGCGGTTGTGGGTTCCCCAGAGTACTCACATTTCGTGACGTGGCTGGACATTGCTAACCGGACATGGACCATTGACAAAGTGTTCCTCAATGACATCCTGCCAGCAGGCAAGGGCTACGGTGCCAAGGCCGTGGCAGAGCACCTGCTTGCGCCGCTTCTTTTTCAGAGAAGTGAGGCCTACGAAGCTTCCAAGCTCGGCAGATCCATGGAGTCCTTGCCTAGCATTGAGAAGCTGGTGGTTCTTGATATCGTCAATTGGAACACCTACATGCTCATGGCTGTGGCGGGAAGCACCGAAGAGGATGCTCGCAAGAAGGTGGGTGACGTGCTTGACTTTGCATTGTCCGCCGAGCTTCAGAATTCGGGGCTGACACAGAATCAGCTCTCTAAGGTAGCACTGGTGGACGTCTTCAAGTGCACAGCATTAGGCAAGATGTGTGGGTCGGTGTTGAATTATTGGAACAAGCAGCTGGCAAGGCAGATCAGAATGGAGTCGGCGCAAGTGGTTCCTTCTGCATCATACCAGAAAGCTGTACTTTTTTTTCGTTTACTTGTCCGTTCGAGCGACACAGTCTTTGTGCCTTCAAGCTTGGCAGTCAAGGTGTTTGGGCAGGGTGACGAAGAGATCTTTGGCCAGCGTCGCCCAAGGATGGCTGTGATTGTCAAACTGGTCGACGCAACAACTAGAGCATAGTGTTCGTGTGGTACTGCTGCTGTATGCGACCATGTTAATCCAGTACAAGTACAGTAGATTACTATACACTTTTATATGATTGAGAACATTAACCACATGTCTCCAGCATGCCGTAATATTGGAGATCGGACTGGAAGGGAGCGCGCCCTTCCCCCCAAAAACTGAACTGTTGGATGCTCAAGACCAGCTTCAAAAAGAAGCCGAAGATGATCAATTTTCAATGCTTGTTAGTGGGCTTTGCTTTCTGGATCCAGAATCCAGTGGTCCCAAAGCCCAGTTTAGTGCACCCTGCATCCACACAAAAGCTGTGGCTGTAATCGCTTGTGAGCACGTGGCCGCGCAGTACTTGCGCGAATGAGTTGTTAATCCAGGCTTCCGGTTGAGGAGATGTTGTGAAGAACATGCAGAGCGGAGCTCGCATGGTCAGCCACTCCTGGTTTACTCTGGGCACAGGTTCCAAAATGTATATGTGGCTTGCAAGGAGATTCTGGTGACCACTAATAGAGCAATTTTGCACAGTATTCAACAGTAGGACTGTCCTGCATGAAACGTGGGGTATGCACCATTGTCATTGCTATTTTTATTGTCATCATTGTTCTTATCAGTAGCAGCAGCAACAGCAGGACAATGACGATCGCAAGTCTACAATTGTAGGATCCATTCTGTGATCCTATGTGAAACGGTGCATCGCAACAGAGCTTCTGCGTCTAGAAACTGCTCCAGGCGCATGGGGCGGAGTTCTCTGTGGACAGCATCTGGGCAGCATGCCTGGCAAATTTGGGGATTTGCAAACATGTACGCGGTTCAGGTTCGGTGACGATCCTGGCGTTAACAGATAAACACATGTATGGTAGGGTCTCGTCGGATGAAGAGTGTCAGGTCGTAAGGCTTTTTGCGTTTGCATTCAATCAGGGAACATGTGCATTTGGCAGCCAAAGTTCTTTCCAGCTTGGGATTTCGCCGCTTGAGTCCTGACGCTATCATATCTGGACTGCGGACTAGGAGTCAATGTAAAGCTGAAGTGGGAACAATGCGAAAGGTCGAGCAAAACAGCACCTGAGCGTTTGCTCCTGAATCTCTCTCTTCGTTGTCTGCCCAACTTGTCCTATTTCTGGAAAGCCAGCAGCTTGGCGCCAAGCCATCATCCACGGCAGTTTGGGGTGGAAAGCATGGGAGACAAGGAAGCAAGAGATGGCCCCAAAGCTCTGGCCAGGTCGATGTCCCAAAGCCTGCGCGGCCGAGGGCAAAGAAGTGCCTCAAGCTTTGTTCAGTATTCAGTGTAGAGGGGTTGGTGTGTCTGAAGACCGTCTTTCAAAGCATACGCATTTGCAAGTTCTGCGCCCCTGCTCAGTCGCCCGGCACCGCGCCCTTCACCTGGATCCAGAGCGCAGAGGTGAGGAGTTCCAGAACCCAAAACTGCCTTGCAAGTTGGAAGAGTTGCTTCGGAGCCGGATTGCCAAACACGTAGGAAGATGTTCGGCGCTCTAGGAATTCTCAGAGACTGGAGCGATTGATGTTGCCGATGTGGCAACCCCTTCCTTCATAACATGAACGCCTTCACACCCGCCTTTTTCCTCGATTTCCCAGCCTGTGAAGATTGGTTACCCGCAACCCACTGCCCCGCAGAAGCCTCAGAAACAAATTAAGCAAACCGCTACATATGAAATTCCAGCCAGAAATCTTCCCTTGCGCAATTGAACTTCCTTTTGGCGACAAGTCATAAGCAATAGATCCTCTCGTAAACAATTTATGCTGGGTTTGGTTAAGCATCATGATGACGATGCTGATGATGGTGGTGATCTTGGTTTTGTTATTGCCGGCATTCGGCTATGTGAGAGAAGCCGTTGTCCACTTTAGTTGTGCTTTGCGTTGGACAACTACGACTCGCATCATCTGCCTCTGTGTGCTTTTTGCCATGCCTCCCAGAAGGAATTTGGATGAGGAGGCACCGCAGCACGGGTCCCAACTCAGTTGGTAGTGGTTGCGGAAACTTGAGTTTGCGTGCTTTCCTGCGAGTCTGACAAGCGGACTCATCTGTTGGCTTCACAGGCAATCCGTAGGTAGCTTCAAGCCCAAAGACGCCTCAGTTTGTTTCTGGATTTCCTCCGTGGCCCATGGCCAAAAGTATGGCGCAACACTACTCTTGGTGCTTTCCTCTAAGGCCTCTCGCCCTGCCGCCGCCGCCCGTTGAGGGTGCTGCTGAGGGTGCCGAAAACCAGGTGCCGGCTCCAGACTATGAGATGCTATGATATGATGTTAGCGTGAGGTCAACATGTCTTGGAAGCCAGGTAGAGCTTTTGAGTGTCTGAGGCGCCCAATGCTGAAGAGGTGCCACATGGGCTTGACGAGCCCAAGGAGGCCAACATTGCACTTTGCACTGTGAAGCATTTGGAGCGTGTCCTTGACCTGCTCCTGCTCTCACCACGGCCATCCCTACTTCCCGCCGATTGAGGTGCCCGCTGCTGCTGCTGCTGCTCCTACGATGAAGTTGACTATTGCTATCTACTTTCACCAGAACAACTGCCCTTCTACTACCAGTGATAGTCGGGAGTCCTTTGGTAACTTACGGTGGGATCTGGTGCACTTCTAACCATGTTCACTGTGGTATTGAACTATGGAATACTGATATTACTGCTGCTGTTATTGCTGCTGCTACGGCAAGAATGATTTCCTGCTACTCCTCACTTGTAGCTGCTTCCATTACGTCGTCTGCCGTTGCTGCTGCTGCTGCCGCCGCTGCTGCCGCTGCCGCCGCTGCCGCCGCCGCTGCTGCTGCTGCTGCTTGCTGATGCTTGCTGCTGCTTGTTTTCATGCTTCGTTTAATTCCCCCCGCCCGAGCCTCCTCCTGTGTGCATGCCATTTTTGGTACCGAAGTCTTCATTCTTCGTGTCAGGATCCAGCGGATGAGATGGAACGCTTGAGGAAACGAAGGAAGTTCGAGTGTGACCCCTGGGATGTATCGTTTGAAGGGTTCCATGGTGTGTTGGTTGCGCCTTCTTGGATTGTGGGAAAAGGAGGATGGTAGGGATAATGGTCATTGGTTCACAAGTATAAGTCTGCTATGCAGAATCATATTTCTCGTCGCGGCAAGTCGGGGGCACCTTGTTAAGCGCTTGGGCCTTCCTGGCCTGCAACGTTGTGGGCCTTGCCTCAGCTGCGAGGTCTAAGCCTGTGGAAGCTCGCAAAGAAGGCTGGAAGCCTTGGGATTTCATTTGCAGAAGCCTGACCCGAAAGATTCCGAAAGAGTTCAAAGGAAAGAAGTAAATTGGTTTCTGGGCTTGATGGCCCGCGGCCTATTGGAAGTATTGGGGCTATTACTTGTAGCCTTCGGCAATTGAACCATGCAGCAAACAAGGTCAGGTAGCTTGTCGAAACGGTTTGATGGCTCGAGTTTGAAGTGGATAGCTGGTCAGCGTCTTTGGTGAGAATGCATTTTGGTTGTATCCTGATCCACGTTACAGGACCACTAATCTAGGCCAAAGTTCGCAAGCTTGCAGATCTTGCAGATCTTGCACAGTGCTGATTCCCGGAGCAATGGGGTGCGGTGCGTCGGCGGATCCCCCAGCGCCCGCCTTGCAGGACAGACAGTGCAAACACTCCTATAGAGATGCAGGATGATCCTCTTCATTAGGGCAGAGGTTCAGACGCAATTTATTTTGAAGCCTTTGCATGCAGGTGGCCAAGCCTGCCCCTGCAGTCTCCAGCGATGGCACCGGAGGAGAGTCGATTATTGGGCATGGGCATCAAAAAAAAAATTGACAAGGCATCAAAAATAAATTTGAGAAGCATCAAGAAAAAAATTGACAAG